TGTTTTTAAATAATTTTTTGGGGTACTGTTGAAGTGAAATGAAACATATGAATTTGTATTTTGTGAAACTTAGATAACTTGATCAAAATTTTCTACCATGTTCTGTGATATGTTTACTATTACGCTGTGAGCAACTAAATGAAAATGTAAAGCTTTTGGCAACTAAATCATGCCTTCCTAAAATGACAAAGCTGCAAATGAAATGTTTGTACATTTTCTAGCTGTCATAAATTTGAGTCTGAATTTGTAGTTGAAATAAAGGTTGGTCAAAATTTGAGAGAAACATAATAAACATTTCTTAATCTCCGCCATTTACTACATCCATTTTAAACAAGTAAGAACGTTGCAGTCGGAAAATGTATTTTCTGATTTGCCACGCCCCTACTGGGCGGATTTATAAATGGGAGATATACCCGAGAGTGTGTTCCAAATTTCAAGTCTCTAGCTTCTATAGTGCCGAAATAAACTGCGTTCATACGGACAGACAAACAGACGGACGGACAGCAAGACGGACGTTACACAATACCAATATATTAATTGACTTTCGTGAATCAGTATAAAAAGTAAAAAACCTCGCAGTCGATCTCGTATTATTCATTCACGGCCTGGCAGCTCCATTTTGCATTTCGCCACGCCCCAAATTGGTCGTAAAATTTTGAGTTTTTGCTCTTAAGCTGTTGAAAATACAGTCCTTTCCGGTTTGCCACACCCCCAATGGACGTAGATATATCAGCAATACCATTTAAAATTTCGACTCTCTAGCACTTCAACTATAATGGCTTCTAAGATACCGGAATATGCATTTTCCCCTAGTGGGTGGACTGTGAAAAGTTTGGCACTTTATATTTTGAGGTTATATAAATATCAAATAGCTAGCTGCAATATGGACAGACAGCAATACGGACATTGCACAAAACCAATATACCCATTTTATTTTCTATAATGAGCACACAAAGCTGGACTATATTTAAAAAAAAAAATGTTTTATAAATTCTTGTACAATTTTAGTCAAAGCTCGTAACAAGTTTTCTTCATCTCGATTATTTACTACATCCATATGTAGGTTTCATCTGGAATCCCCATTGAATGACAAGCATGTGTACACGCAGACATACATATGCAGATATACTCCGTCATACTTACGTCTACTTACCATATCACTAATCCACATTGATGTGATTAGTCACTGTGATTCGATATTGTCAGCCAGTGACTGCATAGTTGATAAATTGTAGACGGCGAGAGCAAGATAGAGTGTAAAAAATCACTCATTTGGGCTTAAGTGCCGTCAGTGGAAGCCGCTGAGAAATGCTTGAGAAGATTAACAGTGACACATGCCCTTAATATAAGGAGAACTCCAATCTGATTGTCTTTTAATAAGACAAGCCGAAAATCAAGTGTAACGCAAAGCGAATTAGATGAAATCTCTGAGAAACAACAAAGCGCCCCGTATCAACATGTTACCGCCCGTCACAGCTGTCAATTGCAACGGCAGCAGTGGAAGCAACGGCAGCAGCAGCGGCAGCAGTGGCAGCAGCATTCAGCAGCCAATGGGCCAACGGGCCAACAGTCAGCGGGCGGCGAGCATAAAGCCAAGTATCAGCTCATCCTCATCTCTATATCTGCAGAGACAGCTGTGACGGGGCAAAACTTCAACAGCTCTTCGGCCTGGCAGCTGTCGTCGGCTAACATCGTTGGGGCTCGCGCCTACTCCGCGCGTAACCTTTGCTAAGGTTAAATGTGAGCGCTGCGCCCGCGAATTGTGCCACGCCAAGAGCAGCAGCAGCAGCAGCAGCAGCAGCAGCAACAGCAGCAACAGCATCAAGAGCAAGGCATAAAGGCAAGGCTTCATTGTGTTGTGCTCGTTGCCTGCTTCCTGCCCATTGTGTCTGTGTGTATCGGTGTGCGTGTATGTGTGGCTGCCAGTGTGTGCGCCTGTATGTGTGAGCGAGCTGTGGCAAGGCGCCGACGCACTGGCGCTTCGTTTGGCTGCCATTTGGGATGCGGGATACGTTTTATCCTTTGCATCGAACCAAGCGCTTGCTGCCAGCCTCGAACATGTTTGGTCGTGTCACGTGCAACCGCCCTGGCTATAGTGCTGTCTCTCTATGTGTGCATGTGTGTGTGTGTGTGGGTGTGTTTGTTTGTGGAACAGCAACTGTTAGCTATAAACAGCATAAGCATCTCTATGTGTACCATATATACTATATATAAATGTATACATACGTATATATTTAGGTATATGTGTGTGGGTGTGTGTGTGTGTGTGTGTGTGTGTATCACAGCGCGGCTGTGTGTTGTATATCAATCGCCCTGTCCTGTGCCCGCTGCCTCTTAGCCGTTGCCGCCCCGCTACTTCAGTCAGCCGAACACCTACTAAGGACGCCGCCGCCAGCCCCCACCCCCCTCCTCAGGCACCACCACCACATTCTCTAAAAGCGCCGCTGGCGTTGAGAGCGCGACGCAGTAGCAGCAGCAGCAGCAGCAGCATTTGAAGCACCAAAAACAACAACAACAACAACGACAACAAAAAGTAATTTTGTGCAACGATGCGACCCTTGGCCAAAAATTGTAATGAGAAACCTTTTATAGCACAAACACATGCTCGCTTTTTGTCTTCTTCTGCTTGCTCTTGCTCATCCGCTGCCATTGCCTCGTCTACGCTCTGCACTCTCCTCTCTAGTGAGCGCCGGCATTGCCACTGCTGCTGCTGCTGCTGCTGCTGCTGCTGCTATTGTCTCCTCTCTAGCTCTGCTGCCCACCGCTAGCGTGCTTCTTCTCTCTGCTCCCCCACCTCTTCTCCCATCTCTAGTGGTTTCTAGTATTTCGCTTGTTTTGAGTTTTGTAGTCTAATTTTATTTTTTTCATGTTGCTTTTTCTGCATCTTCATTTGTATTTTTTGCTTGCGGCTTTTTTTTTCCTTTTTCTTTTTTCCTTTCGTCTACTTAAAGTTAATAATTTGTGTTGTTTTTGTAATACAATATGTTTGTAGGTACGCGCTATATGCTTTTTGGTTTTTCATTTTTATTATTTTTCAA